AATAACGTCCACATCAATCATTTACATTTTAACAAACTGATTTGTTCATTTACAACATTTGCTGCAATAAAAAACCATCACGTTAAAACATTTGCTGTAATTTGAAAGAAAAACGACTGAACTGTTGTCAGATCATATCCAGTAAAAACTCTGCACAACGTCCACAGTAAAAATAAATCAGTATGTTATTAAATGGTCGTTTGTTCTTTTACAACATTTGACTGTGAAACTACAGGTTTGGGTTTTTTTTACTGTTTCAATCAGGAAAAATATTTCACACATATTTGAAAGAAGAAACCTGAATATTAAAAACTGAAAAATGGTGAATAAGTTCTTTATTTGTTATTTTATGCATTTTCCTGATTCGTTAAATTACAGATAATTAGAATAAAACCACAGAACAATCATGAATGTCCGTTAAAAATCAGGATCGAGTCATTTATTCTTTTGCAGTGTTTGACGTTAAAACATAGTTTACTGTATTTAAACCAACAAATAAATCTTTATTTGACATATTTTCCATTATTTGAGAGAAACATTTTTTTATTAAGGAGTAAAAAATGATAAATAATGTTTTTAATGTTTGGATGTGACGTCATTCACAGTTTGGGGCTGTTTTTTCTATTTAAAAAAAAAAGAATTTTATTTTCTAACAGTCAACAAGTAAATTTAAAGACGTTATCTGTAAGACTACAGCAAAAAGAACAGCTTCAAACCGTTTTTTAAAAAGACTATCTCATTTTTTACAGTGTAAGTTTTCCTTTTCTCTCATCTGGATGTTTTTCAATCATCAGAATATGATGAGACTGTAACGTGAAACAAATCCTGATAATGAAGCTCTTTAACCAGTTGGACTAAACTAACCAACCCGTCAGTAATCTTCCAGAACTTACAGCTGCTTCCACTGAATGTCTTAAAAATATCTGAAACCCAAACTGGTTTCACTGAAATAGCAGCGACGCACACACTCTGGGATGGGAGGGGGATTACACAGCACTTTTACCTCCAACACACACACACACACACACACACACCGTCTCATGACTGGGCGTCTGCTGTGTGTGTGTGTGTGTGTGTGTGTGTGTGTGTGTGTGTGTGTGTGATGTTTCCATGGATTAAAGGTGTTTGTTGATTTGGTGGAAAATAGTCGGCAGATGATGGAAAGTATCTGTGAGGTGGGCGTGGCCGGTGGGCTGCTCAGGCTCTGGGAGGCTTCTGGCAGGAAAACCATGAAGCTTCACAGACTTCTAGAAGCTTCAGACGTTCACATTCTTGTCCGGCAGCTCGTCCAGATTCAGTCCAAACATCCAGAAGTCCTGCAGCAGAAAGGCCTGAAACAACAACAGCAGGTTAAATAGACTGAAGCTGCTGCACAGACGAGGCCTCGCCAGGAAGAAACCTGCCTGAAGTGTCAGAAAACCTGTGAGACACCGAACATTTAATTCATTTGTTATAAATCCTGAAACTTTCAGCTTCAAAATTCAATTCAGTTCAATTCAATTTTATTTGTATAGCGCATATTTACAACAACAAGTCATCTCATAGCGCTCAATGCTGCAACAGTCGACTCACAGCCTCACGGTTCTGCTGCTCTGGTGCAAAGAAATGAAGAAATTAATAAAAATTATGCTTTTATTTTGCAAAGACGTGGACTTTGTGAAATCTGAGCTGCTGAATGAGTCCGTCTCCACCGACAGAAGAGAGAAGACGTCCTCTGGGATTTATGGGGTTAAATATGGATCTGAAACAAGAGCTGCAGCTTCTGAACTTCCCCTCAACTTCTACGAGCTGCACGATTTAAAAGATAAATAGTTCTGTTAAAAAAAATAAAAACAAGCTGCATGATCATAATAATAAAAAACTGTAAAAGAAAAGAAAAAAACAAAAATAGGGAGAATCGTTCACTGATACAAGACATACGGTTACAAACAGCACAGGAAATATGTTTGTTTTTTGTTTTGTTTTGTTTGTAAAAAGGTGAAGATCTGGTCTGCTTGCTGCAAAAAAAAAACATTAAAAGAAGAAAAGAAAAGCAGTTTGAATATTGTAACATTAAAAACTGTAAAAATTGTGAAAATAACAGCAAACATCTGAACAATAATGATGTTTAAGGTAACACTGTGAAATATTGTGATGACACATTTAAAAGTACAAATTATTGTTTGTAAATAAAGTTTTGATGTGACAGTTTGTTTTAAATAATATTTTACAGTCAACACACACATTTGTACCTTCTGTGTTCTACACGATGGAATATATATCATTTAGCAAAGCATCTGTAAAATCTGTAAAAAAAAATAAAAATTTTAAACTTATTTAGCATTTTTCAACCCTTAATAAACTTTTTCTTTCAAATGCTGACAAATATCCACAAAATAATGTTTATTTGCTTTATTGTCAAACATTGT